GGGGTACCCAGGGATAGTGACACCAGGGATAGTGACACCAGAGATAGTGACATGGGGGTACCCAGGGATAGTGACACCAGGGATAGTGACACCAGGGATAGTGACACGGGGGTACCCAGGGATAGTGACACGGGGTACCCAGGGATGGTGACACGGGGGTACCCAGAAATAGTGACACACTTCAGGGACATCCCCCTGGGCAGTGACAGCAGCCATCCCCCATGGCTCCCTGCAAACAGCTCTGCCTGTCCCAGTGCCAGGGCCTGCACTTAYCACTCAGTACCTCTGGAGTGCTCTCGCTTCCTTGGGGTTTTTTTCCAAGGAAGAATGAGAAATGCGTTTTCCCATTTATTTATTCTCCTGCTCTCTGCTGCTCCTTAGTAAACTTTGTGTGTCCTGAAGCCTGTTGGTCCCATTAAACTGATTTTTGGAGGTTAACTCACTCAAYAGCCTTTGATTCCCAGGATCTCTGCTGAAAACAGTGAAGCATCTCTGAGCCTCTTCCCACACCTCATTGGTGTGTTCCTTGGAATTACTGCGCTGGCAGGGGTGGAATAACTTAAACTGTTGAAACTTCAGTGACGTTGAAGCAGAGAACAAAAGATAAAATACAAAGAGAGAGGCTGGAGATCTCATCAGCTTGGGAGCATGAATCATTAATCCAGCTGTTGCCTTTTTGCCAGGCTGTGAACAAGATCAAAGACATCGCTGTCTCTGTGAAGAAGGAGGATAAAGAGTAAGTTTCCCTTGGAGATGACCTGGTTGTGTTCTGGGCTCCAGTTAATTCTGTGGCACTGGCTGAGGTCTCCAACTGRGACCAAACAGCTGCCAGCCCCACACTGGGGCTATTCCCAATTTCCCTGGAATTTCTGCTCCTCCCGGGGTGATGCCATGCTCTCACTTGGCTGCAGGGAATGATGTAGGGCAGTGGCTCCCAGTGCTCACTGAGGAACCTGAGCACAAAAATAAGTGGCCTGATTTCTTTTTTGCAGCGCTGGAGTCTCGGAGCTCTTGCTGCAGTGAGTGGCAGTGTTAAATCTCAGCWCTTCCCTGAGGATCAGATCCCTTTTTAGCTGTCACACCAAGGTAGATAGCTCATAGCAGTAAGGAAGTGATCCCTTCAGCTGAGGTGAGAATACTGGGGTTCCTTTTCTCCCTGGATTTGAGGCTCTTGGCTATTTGACCTTGCTGACACCTGCCAGCAATTTGAAGTATTTCGACTGCGTAAGCATCTTGAATAAACCAAAATGGGTTGTCCAAACAAAATGATGAAAAAATGATGAAAAAAAATGAAAGCAAATGTTGTCCTGTGATGGGAATACAATGGTTTCCATGGTCAGCAGGGACTGGCAGATAGAGCCTGGCAGCTGGATCCACATTTCCCTGATGTATCTGTATCACCCATTCTGCTGCACATACATTACCTGAGTTAATTCTTCAGAGAATGTGCTGTCATTAGAGAGTTTCAGAAATATCTGTCTGCCTTGGGATGAGGGAAAGGACCTTCTCTTTCCTGCTTTTAGGTGCCTGAAAGCCAATGAGCCTGGTCAGTGCTGGGCTGATGCTGGAACTCAAAAAAAGAAGACTGGGATTTGTCAGTCTGGGATTTGTCAGTCTGGGATTTGCACATGTACCTTGTGCTCCCCATTGGCAGGAGGGAGCTGATCTTTGCCTCCACCAGAGAGGATTTTGACCCCTCATGATGAGAGACATTGAGGGATTGGAGTGAGTCCAGAGCAGGGAACGGAGCTGGGAAGGGTCTGGAGAATCCTGAGGGAGCTGGAAAGGGGCTCAGCCTGGAGCAAAGGAGGCTCCGGGGGATCCTTTTCCCCTATAAAATTCCCTGTCTGGAGCGGGCAGCCGGGGGGGATTTGGGATGTCATCCCAAAAAAAAGGGACAGGAGGAGAGGGAACGGCCTCAGGCTGGGCCAGGGCAGGGCCAGGGGGACATTGGRGAAATTCCTTCACTCCCAGTGGTGAGGATTTAAAAGCATCCTAAACATCTCCCTGATTAACAATCCACACCCAATGTTTGGGGCTTGTGAAAAGACTGGGATGTGACCAAACCCTTGTTTTTCCTCTCCTGCAGTGAGCAGAGGAGTCTCCTGGAGAAGTGTGCAGCCACAGCCCTGAGCTCCAARCTCATCTCCCAGAGCAAGGAGTTTTTCTCCAAGATGGTTGTAGACGCTGTGATGATGTTGGATGATTTGTTACAGCTCAAGATGATCGGGATAAAGAAGGTGCAAGGAGGAGCTTTGGAAGTGAGTGTTGTTCCTGAAGGGGTGGGACAGGGATCCCAGCTCTGCTGGTGCCTTGGCTCTAKCAGGAATGTGCCCATTGAGGAATTCCCAAAGTGAACAAAGCTGTTGTGTCAGGAGARAGCTTGGCACACAGGGCTGCATTTCTTTTCCTTAGGCAGAGAATCTGTTTCTTGAGACAAATACACCCTTTACTTCACTGCCCTCTGCAGCAACAGTTGTTACTGATCGAAATTCCATTTATTGCTCTGTAACTAATGATTTTATTTTTTTTTTTTCGTGGGAAGTCTGTTACTTCTGGACCCAAAAGTCCTGGTTGTGTGTAAGATTACTGAGCTGGGGAAAATGCAAGAAGAACCCCATGAGGGAGCTGGTTGGGCAGGGCAGGTGGGATGGATGTGTGGTTTGTGCCACAGTGCTGGAAAACCTCTTGTGTCTGGGACTGCACCTGGATGTGTTGTAGGGAATTATTCCTGGCTGTTGTTCCCCTGTGGACAGGGAAATTTAGATCCTGATTTTTCTTCACTCAGGAAATCAAGGAGCTCGTGTCGGGGAATAGTGTTGGGCAGGGCTGTCCTGTTGCAGAAAATCTTGGAGATGGTGATGGAGCTTGGAAAAACAAACCAGAGCTAAAAAAAACAGCCCCCAGTGGGGCTTTGGATGAGAATTTCCAAGTTCAAAGGGGAGGAATGGGAAAGAGATCAGGGAGAGAACTGATTGCTCCCTTCCTTGATCTTTATGTTGTATGGAGGGTTTTGGGGTTTGAGGGGTAGAGAGGAGGCTGCTTTTGTGAGCTGAAAGAAATCCTTGCTGCTTATYTCCTGTAAAAGTGGGTTAATCAAAGCAGACGGTGCTGGAAGGCTTTGCAAATGAGGCCTCTGGAAGCAGGGAGGGTGCTGAGGGAGTTACTGTGAAAAACACCTTGGGAGGCTGAGCCTCAGGCACATCCCTGCCTTCCAGGACTCCCAGCTGGTGGCTGGAGTTGCCTTCAAGAAAACCTTCTCGTACGCTGGCTTTGAGATGCAGCCCAAGAAGTACCAGTCCCCCAAAATCGCCCTGCTCAACGTGGAGCTGGAGCTCAAAGCTGAGAAGGACAATGCCGAGGTCAGAGTCAACACGGTGGAGGTAAGAGTCAAATGGGAGCCTGGTAAGAGTCAAAGGGGAGTCCCCCATCCTTGGGGGCCTGGAGGATGCTGATCCGGTGGGGTAAGAGTGAGGAAGGAGGGCCATGGACATGATCTGAGAGCTGGAGCCAGGCTGGGAGAGCTGGAGGGTTTCACAAGAGAAGGAAAAGCTCCAGGGAGAGCTCAGAGGCCCTTTCAGGGCCTGAAGGGGCTCCAGGAGTGCTGGAGAGGGACTGGGGACAAGGGATGGAGGGACAGGACACAGGGAATGGGGTCACACTGCCAGAGGGCAGGGATGGATGGGATATTGGGAAGGAATTCCTGTCTGTGAGGGTAGGGAGCCCTGGCACAGGGTGCCCAGAGCACCTGGGGCTGCCCCTGGATCCCTGGAATTGTCCAGGGTGGATGGAGTTTGGGGCACCCTGGCACAGTGGAAGGTGTCCCCATGGCAGGGGTTGGCAACAGATGACCTTTAGAAGGTCCTTTCCCACCCAAGCCATCCTGTGATGAATGAGTTTGCTCYCTGCACCCCCTTCACCTCTGAAAACACTGTGGGCTGTGCTGCCCTGTTTGGAGTGAGGGCACAGCAGACTTGGAGTTTGCTCAGGTTCAGGACATGTTTGTGAGCTGTCATGGTGCTCTGCAGAGCCAGCAGCTCTGTGGGCACTGCCTTAGGCCTGGCCAGTGGCCTTCCAGGGAAAGCTCAGCAAGGGCTTGGAGTGCTGCAGAGTTTAAGCAGACCAGGTTCCCATCTGGGCAGTGCCATAAACCAGGGCCCTTCCAGTGCAGGGCTGGGAGCAGCTCTGTGCCAGGGCTGCACATGGAGCATTCCCTGTCCCTGGCACTGCAACMTCTGTCCCCCTCTCYTCCCTGCCAGGATTACCAGGCCATYGTGGATGCTGAGTGGAACATCCTGTATGACAAACTCGACAAAATCCACAAATCAGGGGCCAAAGTGGTCCTGTCCAAGCTTCCCATCGGTGATGTGGCCACCCAGTACTTCGCAGACAGGGACATGTTCTGTGCCGGCCGTGTCCCCGAGGAGGATCTCAAGAGGACCATGATGGTGAGTTCCATTGGCTCAGGGGACAGCCTTTGTGATACCCCAGGCTGTTCCCAAACAGCTGCTCACTGTCACTGTCCCTGACCAGGATTTAAAGGACAAAGCTGTTCCCTGGTGGAATGAGCAGTCACACCCTGATTGCATCCACGCTGCTTTTTAGTTCCTCTGTTGGGTTCTGTGTGATAAAATCTGTTCAGTGCATCAGCAGAGGTTTATTTTSCTAAGTTCTTCCCTGTTCCATCATAAGTGTTTTTTTCCTGAGCTTTCTGTGTGTATCTCCTGGACTCAGGAGCCTGTGAGTCAGCACTCAAAGCTGTATAATCTCATTTTGCTGTTGAGGATCTGTGAGATGGGAGGGAAGGGAAGGGTTTTGCTGAACCTGGCTGCAGGGTGGGTTTGCACCAAGGAGCCTCCTGGGAGGTTGGTGGGGTTTTCAGGGCTGATAATTCCATGCTTTGTCTCCATCCCTGCAGGCCTGTGGAGGATCCATCCAGACCAGTGTCAATGCCCTGTCAGACGATGTGCTGGGTCGCTGTGAGCTCTTYGAGGAGACCCAGATTGGGGGAGAGAGGTAAAGACACCAATTGCAGACYCATAGTGCTGTGCAAGCCTTCTCATAGGGGAAAAGGTCAAAGAATTGGCAGGTTCAGCAGCTCTCAAGGTTGTTACAAAATGTGTATTTTACTGTATCCAAGAGCTGCTTTTTGAGGCTGAGGGAGGGGGCAGGAACAAGATTTAACYGAGATCCATCTCTTTTAAATGCTTTTAAAAATACATGTTTATTCTGCAGTGCAGAACATGTTTATTTAGCCAGCAGAAAGCACAATGGTACTGTTTGATTTGTAATGCAAGAGCAGCCCATTTGGGGATTGATGTGGCACTCGTGTGATGTTCCAGCTTGACACTTCAGTGTCAGTGCAGGTGAAGCTGGGGACAGTACACTGGGGTCTTCCCTGGTGCTGGAGCTGTTTGGGGCTGGCTGCTGCCATCTGTGCTCCTGCCAAGTGAAAACTGGGAGCCCCAGTTCAGTGTGAATCCCTGGGGAAGAGAGAGGGTTTTCCTGGGTCAGCTTGAATTTCATTTCTGTGTTCCTGGCTCAGCCAGGATTCAGTGGGGCTGAGAGGGGCCAGGCTGTAGGGTTGGCTCTGTTCCTACACTTTCCATCCAGCAGCAGTTTCCCCRTGCCCACAACCTCTGTGCTGTGCCTCTGACAGGTACAACTTCTTCACGGGCTGTCCCAAGGCCAARACCTGCACCATCATCCTGCGTGGGGGTGCTGAGCAGTTCATGGAGGAGACAGAACGCTCCCTGCACGATGCCATCATGATTGTCAGGAGAGCCATCAAGGTGAGTGCCAGGGGCAGC